GCAGTGCATGTGTTTGGTGGCCGCTTGGTGTCCGCCCGTGCATATGTTAACGTCCTAGTTGCCGCCTTGCGGCCGATGCTCCTTGAAGTAGGACTCACGTTCCTGGCACACCGATAGACAAAAAAGAGCACGAGCTTTTGACTTCTGGAATGTTCCTGCAGGGCCACTGGCTAGCTTGAAGCATTCATCAACCATCCTTACGATATCAAGCGCTTAGTTCACACTGGAGGGGATCCTGATAGAGGTTCTGGACTTCCTTCACATGGGTCAGGCTGTCCCACCCCCTCCCGCCCCTGCTTCCGGCCAAGGACATTCCGTTTGGGCGAGATTGAGCATCTGCCCGTAGGCAAGGGTCACAGCACAAGTCCTTCCCCAACATGGCTTTTGCCGGCAAGTGTTGGCTGCGCGAATCCTACGGAACCTGCCCCAGTGACTCGCAGGTGATGGTGTGGTGGATTGCCTCATCTCTAACTGTGTCTGAACCTTAAACGGTGTTGGCTAAGCAACACAACTCTGCTCTTGGCTATGCCTAATGTGCGCTGGCTGTGGGAGCTCCCTCTTCTTTGGAGTGTCCATGTCAGCCTGAATGTAGTGGCTTTATTCCTCCTCACAGAGGCTGGGGTGGGGGCTTTTTGACATTTCGCATTCTTGGCGCCGTAGCTTGTGCAAGGTCATCAACCTGTCCCCAGACAAGTGCGAGCCCTCAGATTCTTCTCCACTGACTGTCGCGTGTTGTATTGCCGCTAACAAAGACCTATGTCACGAGCTTTGACGTTGTGCCATGAGCGCACATTGCCAATATATGCCAATATATCCCCCCTAAACCCTAAACCCTAAACCCGAAACCCCCCAACCCTTCATATGTGTATATATATATATATATAATATAGATAGATCAGAATGTAGCAATAGCATGCAATGCATCTGTTGCATAGCGAACGCTGCTGGCGTTTTACGGCCTCACGGGGCTCGCATCGAACTAAAGGAACTTCGATCGCTATGAAGCTAGATGCCCCGAGCTCTACAACACCAAGCTGTCCTGAAAAAAGAAAACATAGCTGCATGCGGCCCATGAGACAAGCAATGCTCCTTCCTTGAGCCATAATTTAGTTGTAGAGTAGCTAACCTTTAACCTTTTTGGGTTAATATATTCCCCTTAGAATCCCAAAGGTTAACCTTTAAAACCCCTAGGTACTGGACAACTAAGATAATTAGGTCTGTGGTCCTTGTGAGGGCTGCTAGGACACATAAACCTTTTCGCCCAGCCTGACCGAACCAACGATTCCGGCAACAAGGCATCCCAGAATCCTAGAATCTTGCAGACCCTAAACCCTAAACCCTAAACCCTAAACCCTAAACCCTAAACCCTAAACCCTATAAACCCTAAACTTGACTCTTTCAGCCCAGAAACCAGAAACCTTAGCCACAGTCGCCGCGGTGTCGAGGCCGCAAGTCTACCGGGAGATGAACCGGGCTCCTGTCCGAGATTTTTTTGGTGCTCTACAAGGAGGGGCCCCCTTATTATACTAACTGTAGCCAAGGGACTTATAACCAAATTCAGGATCCTTATAACCCAATTTAGGGTCCTTATAACTCTACTTATGACTGGGGGGCCCCTCCTTGTAGATGAGTGTAAGCACCGTTTAGGCCTTGGCTTTGGGAAGTCGGCTTTCGACTGCCACTGAGAAGATTAGGATCATGGCGGGTGGAAGGTCTGTGTTTTAGAAAAAGTTTTTGGGGCATCTCCAAACCCAGCACCGGGCATTCAGCAGCGGCTCTTAATGGCTTCGGGGGGAGGGTTTAGGGGCTCAAGTTCAGGGGCTTTTTTCGTTAGGGGCTCAAGTTCAGGGGCTTTTGTCGTGCTTTGGTATGACCCGATGCTTACGGAAGGTTGAAGGGTGCCTTGCGCATGCTAGCAGATATGCCTGAGCCACCTTTGAGGCATTGAAGCTTTGCCGCAGCAGCCGTGTAGCGAAGCCAGCAGTTCCATGAGTGTCTGTATACTCCAACTTGTCCAAATGGGGATTTGCGATATTTAATAGCGGTACCTTAATGGGGTCCTTCATTTCAGGGGATCCTACTATTGGGGGGTCTCTGTTAGGGGTCCCCCCCCATTTTCGTAAACCCCCAAATCTGAGCCGAGGTGTTGGCCCCAGGCGGTCGCGTGTCGATCTCCGACGTGCTGCGCTGCGGCCTCAGTTCCTGAGCTTTTGAGAGCCAAGAAACCTCGCAGAGCTATGCAAGCCCCCTACTTGGAGGTTCATGACTACGTACTGAAAGGATGGTTCTAAGTAGGGTGGTCATAACCTTACTTATAAAAGCAGGGTACTTATAGCCCCACTTGTAAGTAGCCATGAACCTCCAAGTACCCACGGTGCGAATGCACACCTATAGCCACTGCAGGCGTGGGCGACATTCCGGAGGAGCTCCAAACAGCACAGAGCTACAGCTGCTGAGCAGGAGGCCCAGGAAAAGGACCTTGCAGCTGCAGCCACGATGATTCCAAGCAGGTTGGTATCGTTGATTATGGTATGGCGGCCAACATGGTGCTAGAATGTGCGATGTAGCGGTGAGAATGAGCCGAGCCGGCTTACCGCAGTTCCTCGCCAACCAGAGGGGTCAAGCACTGTGTTTACATATCGCTGGTGGAGACCTCGGCATTCGAAGCATGTCCTCCAACCGACCCTGATTCGAGGTTGCGGGGGCATCAGCTGAAGATGAGATGCGCGGCTCTCGGACATGTGCACGGCGCGTCCTGAATTTCACAAGTTGCTTGTTGAGACCAGCAGCTGAGGCGCAATATGCTGACCGATGCCGGGCAACCGGCCCAGCTCGAGGTTGTGAAAACACAGGGTTTAGGGTTGAGGGTTTAGGGTTTAGGGTTCAGGGACGATGATGCCCCTGCTGTCGCAGCGGTTGCTCTAGGGCTGTGTGGGGTCCTTTGGGTTCATGACTGGCTCACGAGAGGAACTGAGTCAAGCAGCGCCCTCTCTTGGAAAGCTACTTGAGCACATACCTGTCCGGCGAATCAGAAGGTTTACTGACATCCAGATTGCCGTCAAGGAGAATGCCTCGGCTGGGCGCCCAAGTACTGCAGCTCAGGTTACTTACCATTGGTCAGCAGGGAAGGGGGAATGAGGTACCCGATATATATATATATATAAATAAACACATACAAATACCCGTTAAGGGATTATATAAGGTTTGGGGTTCAGGCCTGGCTTGTAAATCGGGTGAAGGGAATGGAAAGCTGCCTCGAAACCTCGACCTGATGCCCATTTCGATTCATCTTGGTTTCCAACCCTGGAATGTGTAAGTTAATGTTTCAGCCCAGGGCTCCATAGCTTGTTGGGATTTTTGTAGTCTTCTTCGTGGTCCCGAGGACATCATCAAGGACTGGATGCCGGGCAGTGGCGTCGGGGCCATAGATGTGGGATGAATGTCCACCAGCCGGTTCGCGGCTGCACGGGTCGTCTGCAATGTGCTCCTTCTTACGAAGCCCCCATGCAGACGATTGGTTTTCTCCTTGTGCGGACAGCCCGCCTCTTCGATTTGTTGCTGCAGGCTGAGAAGTACGTTACCAGCGCCTATGTCACGGCTACAAAGAAGGCGAGCAAGTCCATGCGAGACAACGCCGCGGGCCCGGTTGCGCTTCGTGTGCTGACTTCTTGAACCCTCTTGTTATCTCATCTTGTGGCTTGAGAACCTCAGCTCCTCATCAGAGAGAGCAAGCCCGTTGAACTTTGATTCGCCTTAAGAGCCCGACAAAAAGTCTCCGAATCCTCCAAGACCATGCGGGAACTCTACAATACTGACAGGATGCCCCACAATCATGGGATGATGCTGCCCATTCAGGAAAATCTCTTTTGTCGCAGACGCACAAACGGTGCTGAATCCTTGGGGTGGGAAAATCTCGCAAACGTCGACACAACATATCCCACCTGCAAAGACCACACCTCAACCTGAGAACTGGAGAACTCACTGTGCCCCTGGCAACTTGGGTACCCTTCCCCCCTCACCCTCAGAGCTTGGGGGCTGGAAAGTCGGCAGTGCTCGAGAATTACTGGTAGGATTGCATAATTGCACATTTGACATGTCAGCTGAATGGGTTCCAATCTCAACTGGGTCGCGCGCCAGAAAAGTTTAGGATGCTGGTGCTTTCACGTTGCACCGCCCTGCCTCGCATTCTCTCGCAAAGGCTCCGTGTGTCGATAACGCTAAACCTTATAAACCCTAAACATCCCTAAACCCTATCCCTAATCCCTCAACCCTAAACCCTAAACCCTAAACCCTAAACCCTAAACCCTAAACCCAAGCTCTACACCCGCCGACGACAGCGCCGAGTACACCCCGAAACGGCTTCCCTTGAGCCTCAGGTCCGCGCCGTGTCGGGGTGCTGCGACCCCAAGGCCCCTGGCCTGTAGGGTTTAGGGTTTAGGGTTAGGGTTTAGGGTTTAGGGTTTAGGGTTTAGGTTTAGGGTTTAGGGTTAGGGTTTAGGGTTTAGGGTTTAGGGTTTAGGGTTTAGGGTTTAGGGTTTAGGGTTTAGGGTTTAGGGTTTAGGGTTTAGGGTTTAGGGTTTAGGGTGGTTCAAAAGGGTCTAGGGTTACCAGATGTAGTGTGTTAGAGTTTGCGGGCTATATACGTGAGGGACCTGACAATTGAGAATTGTGAACTTTGCAGGGGTTTGTAAGAAATGCTACAGTCTCTAGGACGCAGAGTAGGCCCTTATTCCATTTTTTCAGGGTTTAGGTTTCCCTTATAATATAAGCCCCCTTCATACCAAGAAAGGGCACACTTTCAGTTCCGAGGTTACGCTTGGTTCTAGGTCTAAGGCGTCTGGAGGGCTTCACGGGATCCCTCTGATCAACACCCCCCCCCCCCCCCAAACCCCAAAGTGCCGGGCGAAGTGATCCGAGCGCGCACTTTGAAGCCATGGGTGCCAATTGTATGTGGGAGTCACATGGGTCTCCAAACGACCATACACCTTAAATCCTGAGCCATGGCGCCACGCTTCTTGCTTGGCCCTGTGGTTTTCGCTATGGTAGGCGCGGGTGTCGCGCCAGAGCCTCTTCTGCGCGGCAACGCAAGTGGGGGCACCCTCCGGTCCCCGCGGAGGCTGGAGGATGCTTGTTGCACTCACCAGACCTCCGAGTACTGGAACAAGTTTGGCTGCGGTGGTCCGTGCACCTACGATGACACGACCAAGCGGTGCACCTGCGAGAATGCGCCCAGCTACTACCGCAACCGCTGCATGTTTCCGGCGGAGGACGTATGCCGTGCAGACCCAGACCTTGCAGGAAATTTCCTACTCGAGTTTCTGCGCACCGAGAACGCGGACGCGGTGCAGTGCATTCAAGACCTGTCAGCTGATGCGGGATGCGTGGCCACGGTGGCCCCTGCTTGCCTGCGTGACGGGCACAGGTGGTGGTACGGTGCAACGCTGGATGGGCCACTGCACGCCCCAAGCCCGTATGCCTGTGCACTTCCGGACTCCTGCAAGGTTGGGCACCTTTCAGGAGCCGATCTGCTCTGCTGCAGCGAGGACGGCTGCGCGTCCTTGCAAGGGGGGCTCCTCGCCCTCATCGTCCTGGGCGCAGTCCTTGGTTTCCCAAGCCTTTGCTGCTGCCTCTGCTGCTTCTTTTGCCGCTCCTCTTGCGGCATGAAGATCCAGGCTGGTCCACGGAAGGTACAAGGGCAGAGCCAGCAGGCATCGATCCCCGTGGTGATGGCGCAAGTGGTCGGGGAGGCTGGGCAACCCTACCTGGCTGAGAACAACGCATCGAACATGAACGAGGAGTTCGTTCCTCAGAAGGGCCAGGGCCCGAGCGTGCGGCTGGTCGGAAGCGAGTGAGAGGCTCCATGGGTAATTGGGCCATCTCGGAACGACAGGGCTCCGAGTGCCTCCTCAACAATACTGGAAGCACAGCCACGTAAAGCCGTAGCCCCAAAGGGCGCTCTAACACAAGGCTGCGCAGCTTCACAGGTTTCACCCGGAGAAGTCAGGATGTCTTCACTTGGGAAAACCTGAAAGGCCTAGGGTTGAGGAAGAAGCTTTTACCACGCAAAGCCTGCAAATCCGAAACCCTAGATCCTCCAATCCAAAGTGTTCCAAATCAGCGGACTCTGTGGAGTGGAGAGGGCAGCCACTCAAGTGGAACATTGCAGGTGAGGGTGTATCGCTGTGTTACATTCTTCCGGATAGCCATTTGGGTGACTTAATCCATTGACTAGTCCCAGAAAAACTGACTCGAGTACTGCACCTCCGATTAGAACTATGCGTGGAGCACAGGTGCATAATTTGGAATTGGGAATAGTTTAAATATAAATATAATATATATATATATACACATTTTTTTAATGTTGAACAGGGCCCTTAAAGCAAGAACTGCTGTCATGTGTGTTGTGCTATCCTGCTGATCGAGTAAATGACGGTCACCTTCCTTCAGCGCCGTTTTTTGTGCACTGACACGGGGGTCGGGGGGTACGAGCCAGGACTGACGATTTGTAGAAAGCCCCCCAGGCAGGTATCAAGTACTTGCACAGAGCGACCTGATGCTGGAATTACTGTCCCACCGAGCTACTGGGTATGGCTTGTTGCTGTGCATTTGTTGTATTACTTTTTGTTTAATGGTGCGCGTACTGTATGGTTCGGGATGTGCCTTGCGAATTTGTCCTTGCAGATGTGCGCCGGAGCGTGGGCAGTGGGCGGCAAGGACCAAAAACAGACCTTCCGGTCATCCTTCTGCCTTGAGGTCGCCGCCGCCCTGGCCAGCAATGGCACCGCCGGTCCGGGTGTGGATGGCTCAGTTTTGGGTATGGGGTTGAGGGTTTAGGTAAAAAGGGTGCCCACAACGCGCCAGCCTGCCAGCCTCTGGCATTTTCTGATGTTGCGCGTGGTGCTACTTGTGCCAGGTCACGCTGTCTACCTGCGTGATGGAAGAACACTTGGTCATGCTTAGGAATCTCAAGTAAGATGTGCTAGGACGATCATCTTAATCATTATGATACTATACCGTAGACTATACCTGTTGCTTAGCTTGACCCAAAAGAGCCCGGATGCGAAGAAAAGGGTGCCTATGCGATGCCCCCATATGATGCCCGCCTGCACTGCCATGTACAACCGGGCCTTCACTGCCTCAGGAACCCCGGCGAGTGCCCTCAAGCCAATCATGCTTGCGGCCTGCCACCGGGACGTCACACAGACTTCGTACCCGACCCGTAAAGTCCTTCGTTAAACCCTGGCCCCAGTCCCAACAATGAATCTGAAGCACCAAAAACAGACATGACTGGGCTAGGCTAGCTCGCCACACCCAGGCCTGAGGCTAAGGGCGACTCTGGGGCCGTCAGAACCTCGGTTGGTGGGCCACACACATGCCGTGTGAAGTTCGCGTCTGGGGTTGTGACTTTAGACGTTTGCACGGGGGTTTGTAGGGATTTCGCGAGGCGAGGGCTTTGGAGTTCAGGAGTGTCGCTTACGGGAGACTTGCACGCACCGCATGAAGCGACACGGCTTGGGCCAAGCAGCGCATGCTCGAACCTGGAGCACGTACCCATATGGTGGTGTTGTCAAATTTGCAGTTACGAAGGTATAGAGCTTCAATGCCTGCTTCTCATTCTTTCAACGAGTCAACTGTGATGTGGTAAGGTTGCCCAGGAGTCGCCCGGACGCTGTTACTATGTCCACAACTCAGCAGGTTTGCAGCCGAGGTCTTCGAAGCACAAACCGATATATCTACTGTAGGGGCTTGAATAATTAGAACATGGTTTTGAGGGGTTATTATAGTATAGTTACAAAGTGACCGTAAGAGAATACGATTCGCAACCTCTACATTAACCAGTTCAAGCCTGACTTTGGCGCTCTCTCACGCACAGTACCAGACATGATTGCGCTCGTGGGGAGTCTTGGCTACACTTGTTCATCGGGTGACGGGCGAACCCTAAACCTAAACCCTGGGCCCCCTACAACGTGGGTCTTAGGGCTTAGGGCTTTAGCCCTTTAACTTCTGCTTGCTTAAGAACCCCCCAAAAAGGGTTTCTTAAGAACCCCCCCCCCCCCCAAATTTACGTAAAACATGCATTCTTCTTTGGAGACCTCACATGCTGCGGGTCTGCTGATGTCAAAAACCCAAACAAAGCACAGCGACTTCAGATCCCAGACAAAATTTCAAGTCATGATCCAAGTCATGATCACATGCATGAGCGCAAAGCGGCAAGGGTGGCTGTTCCAAATTCCGGTAAGGAGGATGTTTTTGGGTGTTTCATCAAGCACCTGCCTTCATCACCCCTGTCGGTTAGTTTCCACCTTTCAAGCTCAGAATATGGTTGCTGGAGTAGTTGCTGGCTATCGCGTCCTTGTGCTGCTGCACGTTACAAGTTCACATCGTCCCAACATGGGCTAAACGGACACACCCTCCCTTCTTGGGGTAGTTGCAAGGGCCCCTAGTATGAGCCCTTAAGGGGACCCCATATATACCCCACATATACCCTACACAACCCAAGGGCCCATACTTCAGAACGCTTGAAAGGAGGCAAGGGACCATATTAAAGGGCCATAGAACCACCTTAAAGATTTCTGGGAGTCTGCGGAGCTGCGGAGAGCCATGCGACGTGGAGCATTCAGCATTGCCTGGAGCTTGGCTTTTCCATTCAGCAGCTACTCTTGAGGGGCCCCAGGAGTATGCATGTGGCAGGCCTGGGCATACTGGCGTCATTGCCGTTAGGATGATGCGCAGCGGGCACCTGCTCATGGCACTTCTCACCAAGGACAGATGACACGAGATGTTGGCCTGGAATCACACAGGCCGAATTCTTGTGGATGCGCCAATGTGCCGCAAGACTCTTTGTCCGATGGCCAGTATTTAGGCGTGTGCGCTTGCTCACAACGCACCCTTGCAATTCTAATAGGGTGTTTGGCAGACTTATCTGTCGCCGGTGCACTCGACAGTGGCTCGGCACGTTATCGCTGTAAGAGGCTTGAGCGACGCCAAAACAGCCCAATATAACCCAATGCTGTCCTAAAATCCAAACACTGACCTGCCCCAAACCTCACCTTCCTGCATGCATACCAAAGACTGCACGCGTACCGTGTGCACACATCGAAAAGGTCGAAAGCATTTTTTGGGAGCAGCGCAGAATCGTTTGAGCCGGTTTTTTTCCGCGCCTGGAAACTCAGGGCCCGATCTTTGCCCCAAGGGTTGGGACGAAGGCGCTTGTTGTGGTTATTTGTCCTTCGGACATCCTGATCAACACATTGCTCTGCTGCTGCCCAAACCCCTGGGGATGCACTATGATGCAATCTTGCGGACTTGCCCCTGGGCTGTGGATGACAGCTCTTGCGGTGTCACGATGATAGCGCAAGGCAGGACTACTGCGCCAGGAGTGCTGTCCCAGTAGTCACGGTGCAGCCCTCTCTTTTGGTTTGGCAAGCCTACTCTGGACAGAATGGGCAGGTATGTGGGTATGTGCACGCATCATGCAGCTTGACACTTGTGCGTTGGGCCTGCGATTGGTTTCTGCACAAAGCAGAGACAAGGCTGATAGGAGTGCATGCTTGCCCGCATTCGAGTGCAGCCGCAGTCGGGAATTGGACCGCCACACTCATTCGCAGTAATTTCGGGGCATGGAGGCAAATGTGCACAAGTATGCGCCGAGACCAAGATCCAAGTTTTCCGCTGTCGTGTTTGGCCTCAGCGCACGATGATCGAGGGACGCCACAAAGTGCGAAGAGTGGAAACCCTTGGAGGTATAGTCGCTCACGTGGTTGGCAAGAAACGCAGCATCATGTTGCAGCTATGTTCAAGGGCCGCCGGGCTTCAATCTTCCAGCTTAAGGTGGAGAAGGCTGTGGGAGCCTCATAACTTCATAGATACCAGAACGTGCTCCAAGCATAACGCGCAACCAAGCCATGCAATTTCTGCCTACAGTTCCATTCTCTCGAGCTGTGTGAACAAGGTCCCAGCCCAGTCTCCCAGGTGTCCTTACCCAAAGGGTCTAGGGCGAGGGAGCTGGATGCGACACAACGGCATGTTGCCTCAGCCAAATTCTCGAAACTAGGTTTAGGATCCACCCGAGTGTGCGTAGCATTGGAAGACAAGAAAGCGCCGCAGCGCTTGCTGCTTCCTAGCTTTTCATTGTACTTCCCCTTGATGAAGGCCCTACTGCAAGGTGGGCCTTGCTGACATAAGCCCTTCCATTTTGCAAGTCGTTGAAACAGAAGTTGCCCATTGATAAAGGCATCCAAGGATGTTGTTGGGAGTCGTGTTGGTTGCACAACAACTATTTCAAACATCTAGCCTTTGGCAGGCATTCGAGGGAAAGGCGATGTTTCGTGCCATCACTTCTTACACGAATTGGAAGAGTCCTGGCACGTACCGTAGTGGCCATTGTGAACCAGAAGCAACGCTTGGGTTCCTCCGGGACCCATCCAAGCATCACAATCATGATAGCCTAAACCCCAAACCCTACACCCCTCTGCCATGCTTTGCCCTTTCATTCCTCGACATCTTTGCTTTGGGAGTCTTGGCTCGGCAGCATGCATGGGATTGTGAGTACAGAGGAGCCTGCTGGACTTTGTTCCTCGCAGCACGCAGGCTTCGTAACCCAATCAACCGCCCCCAAGTTGCAACTTGAGGTCTAAAATGCCACCCAGCAAGGCGTACGTGGAAGCGGGGGCGCGGCCTTGTGGATCCTTGTGGGACACCTACATTGTTATACTCCTTGCAGGAGAAAGTAAAGCAAGGCGCGCGAGTCCACACGGCTGTGTCTCGCCATGGCGTCGTCTAAATGACTCTCGCCGCTTTGTCAGGCAAGCTTGGCTGCTGCTTGAATTAGGTCACGAAGATCTCATCCCCT